TGATATGTGAATGTGTTATAAGTATATATACCCGTTAAGGCCCGATAAACCAAATAAAGTCAAATAAAACTAAATGAAGTTCATTAAGGCCCGATAAACTCAATGAAGCCCGGTAAATAGATTAAGGCCCAATAAAACCGAACAAAGCCCAGTTAAATGGGTTAAGGCCAATAAAACCATATAAATCTACATATAACACACACACACACACACTGTCTATACATTCACTTATACACATACGTTTAAACATATATCCATCCATCCAATCGTGGTTAGCAACCAGTACACATCGTGTATATATGTGTATATATATTTGACCGACGGGTATATATACATATAACACATACAACGTCGTGTAAACATATATGTATATAACACGGGCTAACGGGTATATATACTTACTAGTTGTGTACCCGCGCAATGCGGCGGGAGCCATGAATTTTAACGATTTTGAAGTTTCACTGGTTTTATAAGACAAGATTTAACGACGATTACTCTCCATTTCCCGTCTCCTGCGAGACAGGCAGTGGTGGGGTCTCTGAAGTTATCCGGTTGAACCCCTTGGGGAAGATTTATGACGGGATTGCCGGTGTATTTGACCCATTCTCTAAGATAGGGATCAAATAAGTCCTTTGGGACAGCCAAGTTCTGGACCTGGCATTTTTCTGAGTCGATTCCTGTGTAGAACATCACAGGCTTGTTTCCAGGGAGGATAGTGGCGGAACCTGACCAACAGTTGTTGATATCGAAGGATTCGGTGGGGGCAATGGCGAGGTCTAGAGGGATCCAGTTTATCAAATCATAGGATGCAGAGTGTCCCCAATGCATTTGATCGGTAAAGAGTGGACCAGCTGGATTGTATTGATAGAAGAGATGGTATACTCCATTGAAGTACTTTGGTCCTGGATGCATTTAGATATACCATATTAGCATAAATATGCACAATCTAATTAGTGAATAAAGCAGATGGATTTGGAGCACAAGTTTAATCATATCAAATATGATTTTCGAGTTTTTCTTACAGTACATAAGGGATGATCCCTACATTACATAACATCGAAGATGAATCATGAACGAAGAGGTGAAGAAGGAAATTGAAAAGCAGGTGGTGAGAATTGAATTGAGTTACCATTAGGATCTGCGCCAATTGGATGATCATCGAGCGCCATGTTCATCGTCACATATCAATGAAAGCACAGCGATACATAGTCATATACATATACATTTAGAACAAGTAGAGAAGGAGGAAGAGGAAAGAGAAGTGAAAATGAAGAAGAAGAGGTCACCGTTCATCCAGTTTTGTGAAGGCTGGAAGTGAAATGCCGTCCGATGAGGGTGCTCCGACAGGGAAGGAAGAGGAGATTCCGACATAGCAGGATGGAGATATGGTCAAAGGCAAGCAGCTTTCTTCTTTTCTATTGGTTAAGCACAGGTTACGAACCAAGAAACCGAATCCGTTTCAATCATCTCTGTACGGTGCTGTGGACTCTTGCAGTCGGAATCCATCTTGAAATAACAAAGCTAAGAAAGTAAAGCAAGGGAAGATGAGGAATTGTGGTGGAGGAGAGCAAGATGGAGACTGGAGAGACGTGGAGGAGATGACCATGCTTTTGAAGCTTTGATTTTGAATTTTGAATTTTGAATTTGAAATGGAAAAGTAAAAGTTGAAGAAAGTGAAGACTGTGATGGAAAGCTGGAAAGAGGAAAGGAAAGCTGGAAAGGAATGGTTGTACTCAATGCATAAAAAGCTTGTACCTCATGTTTGAAGAGTTGTACTTAAGAGTTTTTTGAAAATCTTGCACAAAATAGTTGTAAGTTGTGCATGAAGAGTTGTATTTAAGACTTTGTCTTAAATTGTTATATATGTAGTATAGATAACACATGCATATATATATATATATATATATATATGATACCTAAATATAAAAATATAATACATAAAATTCAAGAAAATAAGAAAATAGGAAAATTCCCTCGTTGATCCCTCGCAGATCAGGGAGGGAAATGACCAAAAATCATATTCCCTCGTTGATCCCTCGCAGATCAGCGAGGGATCAGCGAGGGAAATGACAAATTCACATTCTGATCTGCGAGGGATCAGCGAGGGATTTTTCTATTTTTCCTATTTTCTCATTTTTATGTGTTATATGTACATATTTTTATATGTTGATGTCGTATGTATGCATGTATATGTGTTGTTTGTATATATATATA